AGCGCCCTGGCCCAGCCGGCGAGCCCCGGCGTGCGCGGGCCGGGCGCACGGAGCGGGAAATGCGGCCGCATCCCGGAGGTGCCGGCCGGGGACCTCCGCCCTCCCCGGCGGAAGCCCGAGGGGGTCTCGGTGTCCTCAAGCGGCAGCTGAGGCCAACCTCTGCGCGCAGGACCGCGAAGCCGGGCAGCCGCGTCGGCTCCTGCGGGGTGTTGTCTTTCGTTAGTTACTCCCGAGCTTTCCCGCTTCCCAGCCCCGTGAATACCGCCTGCACTTCTCAGAAGAGCAGCCTGCCGGTGGCTCCGGCACGCGCTGCAGTCCTGCGTTTGCGCCGCTAGGGGGAGAGCCCCTCGGGTTTGGGCCCGAGCGAAGCTTGGCCGCGTTTGCAGCCCTCGAGGGAAACTGCCCAGTCCTGAGGGCCAGGCGAAAAGCCTCCAGCTTATGATGCCGGGAACGGACCGCCTGGGTTTCTACCCCCCTGCCCCCCGCTTCTCAATTCTGGTTGGTCATAACTTGAAATGTATTTGTGGCTGGCTTAGAGCATCAGCCCCAGATGTGGCCGGGAGGGAGGGGACCTTTGCAGTAGGGAGCAGGTGGCAGGTGCTGTGTGTTAATGAAAAGCAGTGGGCAGGACAGGCCCCCGGAGACCTGGGTCCTGGCGTCAGCCTCACCTGTAATTGGCCGTGTAACACGTGCCAAGTCACTCCCCCTCTTCGGGACAGATTTCTCAGTATTAATAAGTTATATTTGCACGTGAGCCTTGGCTATCCAGACGCCTGGGGAAATGGATCTTTTACCACACCGTGTTTCCATATTAAGCACAATGTCTTCAGAAGCCTGGGGGGTGGGGGAGGGCAGAGGCTGAAGCATTCCTGGGATCTTGTTTTAGCTTTAAAATTCATATGAAAATAATAGATTCTCCCTTCCTGAAAAGATCTTGTAGTAAAATTGAAATACTTACCAGGGAGATGTATCATGCTTGTCCTATGACATTACATACCTTTTTTCTTTTTCAGTAAATATTTATTCTGCATGTGTTCCAGACCTGGCCGTCGTCCTCCCAGAACTCACAGCCCCCGGAGCAAACAGGTATCAAACAATCAGACTAACAAATGCAACTGGGATCAACTCTCAAATGCCAAGGGGCTGAGGGTTCACAGGGAAACCTAATCTAGACTCCAGGATTCAGTAAAGCTTCCCAAGGAAATGACCTTTGGGATTGCCCAGGAGAGGCGGCCGTGAAACACTTCCAAGGTAAGGAGAAGATATTGTGCAACAGCAGTCTACGCAGGTAGGGTAGAAGTGAGAGGGAATGTGAGACCGGCCAGAGAGGCAGGCGGCGGAAGCCAGACCTTGCCGGACCTTGTGGGCCATTTTAAATAAGGATTTTATCTCATCAACCATGGAAGGTCTCTGAAAGGCTATAAGGGTTGGGGGCGGGTGATCATGATCTCATGTCATTTCCTATGTGAACAACTGATTCATGGAGGGTCAGGGTCCAGGCGAGAGAAACTCTGACCCCTTGACACATCCTTGCCCATGCTATTTGGTGAGTGTTTCTAGGGTTTTCAGTTTCTACACCACACTGCTTTTGGGAGTCCTTTCAGAGTGCCTCTCTGTAACAGCCCCTGTTTTGTTAACTTTTAATCTGCTGTGGTTTTAGGAAGGGAGTTAGCTAACCTTATTAGAATTTCAGGTTAAGTAAGGGGATGTAGGTTCTGAGTGAGGAGCTCTTTTCTATGCATACCCTTGGTGCTATTTGGTTTGTTATCTCAGAGATCTTTCTACTTATTTTCTCCTTTTCATTGTGTTCCCAGTGAGGCAAAGCTCCTTGATGCATGAGTGAGAGATACATTTTGCTTTAATAACACCATCCTCTCAAATCTTGCATCACAGATTTTTGTGCAAAGTAAAGAAAGTGTGTAAATTACCCTGCAGAGCTTTAAGTGCTATATGAATGAAAGTAATAATGGTTATAATGGCAGCTTAGAGACCTTCATAACTAATTAGTTACCAAATATTAATATCTGGAAAACTCCTTCCTCCTGCCCCATCCTCCCATGAAAAACACAAATATGCCTATTCCTTACGGACAGTGCAAATCCTCATCTCAAGTGCTCATGTTACTCTTTGTGTCTTGCCTGGCAGACAGCTCAAAGCCAAGTTTGCGGGTCATTGCAGGAAATGAGCGGATCCACAGGGCAGTCATATCTATGTCTTAGCTCTTCCTTTGGTCTTGTTCTTCTATCTCAAGTTTTCCTGTATTCTCCTAATATATTATACATATTTTTAGAAGGCACTTAAAATATTTGTATCCACCTACTTTTAATGAGGGTCAGAACTGCTATTCAGTGTTTCAGAAGGCAGTATATAAAACATTGGCAACCTGCCAGCCATTGTAGCTGGTAACTATACTATAGCCAAGGGACTGGGTTTTAAATTTTTTAATGTTTATTTATTTATTATTATTTTTTTTTTTTTTTGAGAGAGAGAGCAAGGGATGGGCAGAGAGAGAGGGAGACAGACTCTCAAGCAGGCTCTGTGCCATCAGACAGAGCCGTATACGGGGCTCGAACCCACGAACTGTGAGATCATGACCTGCGCTGAGACCAAGAGGGATGCTTAATGGACTGAGCCACCCAGGCGCCCCAGACTGGGTTTTAAATTAAAGCTTGCCCAGCACTGCATGTGGATCAGAAGTCTCTGTGTATACTAGCTTAGAGCCTTGTATTAGACAAATTTGTCTCCCACTGGCTCATAGATAATTTCCTTTAGTGTGATCTCCTAGCTCCCAAGCTCCATCAGCCTGCCCTGTACATAACAAGCACTCTTTGTCACTTGAAAAGAGGGCAGGGATCCATGAACTTTTACTCATTTAGGTTTCTTTTTGTCAGCAGTGACCTGAAGATTCCAGGATTCACTCAATCCATTCAGACTTCACAACAGTGTGACCACATCTTTCAGCCTTTGATATGACTCTGGACAGCCAAAAGTAGACATGTCTCTTCTGGTAGCAGTAGACACTCTTCCTTGATTTCAAGTTCCTTACTGACTCCCTTCTTTCTCTCTCAGTCCCTGAGCTCCTCAGTCTGAGGACCGGAAGGGTATGTGTAGAACAGACATTGAACACCCTTGGGGTAAAGAGGGTTGTTGTTGATGATTTTAGTTCTGCTAACATTTGGTAATTCAGAAACCTTTCTAGTCCACAGAATAGTGCTTTTGTCACAGAATTTTAAACGAATGAACTAAGTTATGAACTAAATTACAATTCTGAAACGTAGATGTCCTAAACTTTAATACATTTGCTTTTTATATGCTGATTCTTATCTCACCAGCCTTTTCTCTGGACGTAAATTCTGTCATGGCTTCAGATAGGTGCCCTTCCTTTCCTTTCTGTTTGCCAAACAGGTCAGGCCCCCTCTTTATTTTTCTTGAATCACATTCACTGTGACCTTGAATGATTTGAACGAGAATTTTGTGCTATGGCTATGTTTATGTGATACATTGGGAGACACTCTGGTGCCACAAATAGTAATTCTGCCTCAGAAGTTTCCAAATGATCTTTCTGAGTGAAGAGTGTCATGGGAATGTATTTAAAAAAAATTTTTTTGTTAAGTTTATTTATTTATCTGACCAACAGTCAGACAGACACCCAACCAATGGAGCCACCCAGGTGCTCTAACATACTATCTTTTTTAAATGATTATATGCTTCTCCCTGAACCAACCTCCATGGCCAATAACGGCCAGGCTCCCACTCCTGAAGTTGGGTCAGTCCTCCTCAAACCACATGGCTGATGGAGGACAGAGCAAGACCTACATACCACAAAGAGCAGGAAATGGACAGAGGCAAACAAAGACATCAACTACTGTGTTCATTTCAGGCTTATAATAGTGAAAGATGAAACACTTTAACCTAAATATACAGAATAAGGGAATAGTACATAAATTGATATATCTTTACAGTGTTAAATTATGCATCTGTTAAGATACCACATCCACAGATTTATTTTATCTTATTTTTTATTAAAAAAATTTTTTTTAAATTTTTTTTTCAATGTTTATTTACTTTTGGGACAGAGAGAGACAGAGCATGAATGGGGGAGGGGCAGAGAGAGAGGGAGACACAGAATCGGAAACAGGCTCCAGGCTCCGAGCCATCAGCCCAGAGCCTGACGCGGGGCTCGAACTCCCGGACCGCGAGATCGTGACCTGGCTGAAGTCGGACGCTTAACCGACTGCGCCACCCAGGCGCCCCATATTAAAATTTTTTTAATGTTTTATTTATTTTTGAGAGAGAGAGAGAGAAATGAGTGCAAGCGGGAGAGGGGCAGAGAGAGAGAGAGACACACAGAATCTGAAGCAGGCTCCAGGCTCTGAGCTGTCAGCACAGAGTCTGATGTGCGGCTCGAACCCACGAACCATGAGATCATGACCCGAGCCAAAGTTGGTCTCTTAACCAACTGACTCACCCACGCACTCCAGACAGATTTTTTTTTTTTTTAATAATGTGAGAAAAAGTTTAAGTTTTCATCTTAACTGAAAAACTCTGGATACAAAATTATGTTGTCAGTTAATTACAACTGTTAAAAAGTGGCACAGAAAATCAAGTACATCAAAATGTTAGTAATAGTCCACTGGACTAGTATGGTTATTTACCTCTTTTGATGCTTTAGTAGTTTAAAAAATTTCTATAATGTACAATGACCTGAACAATGTGAATAATATTATTTAAAATGTGGCTGTAAAATTAACGTTGCCACCAAATGCCATAAAAATAACTATTGCCTCTCTTTGCATTTCAAAAGCATTTTTTTCCAGATTTGATGTATCCTTCCAAGTTTATTTGAGATACCACATACTTCGGGAAAACATTTTCAGGCTATGTTGCTCTCGTTGGTGTACCTTATTATCTGAAAATGTGTTTTTAGCATTAACAGCCTATAGCCTCTCTGCAATGTCAGGATATAAATAGACAAAAATTGATAAAATTGTTTGCTCGTTCTGTTTGACATCTGTTTCCCAACTTATTTCAGTAGAAAAATACCCGAATATTATGGTCATCAGGTATGAGCACCATAAAATATTGATATATTTAATTCATCCCAGAAACTGGGAACACTTTTACTAGAAGAAAATATGACTGTTTTATAAAAAATACAATATTACAACCAGGAGTATATTTCCTTAAAAATAAGAAACTATGAGATTAAGTCCTCGGCAATTTCAGAATTCTTTTTCTCTTCCTATGTGTTTGCTACAGATTTATATCTCTTTGCCATCTTATTAATAGCTACGTGGTAGTAACACCAAAGTTTAAGTAAGATGGATAGGATAAAAATACAAAATTGATATAATTCTAATAACCATTTTTTTTCTCTTACCAATTCATAAACCAAGAAATAGGCTACCATTATTCATTTTTGGCAGGAGATACCTCAGTTCTGTTTCTAGAATAGCACTGACCTGTGGAAACATGATTTAAAATCACTGCTCTGTTCCTATTTTCTTTTTTTTTTCTTTTTTTTATTTTTTTTAATTTAAAAATTTTTTTTTTCAACGTTTATTTATTTTTGGGACAGAGAGAGACAGAGCATGAACGGGCGAGGGGCAGAGAGAGAGGGAGACACAGAATCGGAAACAGGCTCCAGGCTCTGAGCCATCAGCCCAGAGCCCGACGCGGGGCTCGAACTCACGGACCGCGAGATCGTGACCTGGCTGAAGTCGGACGCTTAACCGACTGCGCCACCCAGGCGCCCCAAAAAGAAAACTGATTTTAAAAAGGGGACATGAGGGCACCTGGGTGGCTCAGTCGGTTAAGTGTCCAACTTCCACTCAGGTCATGATCTCGTGGTTCATTAGTTTGAGCCCCGCGTCAGGCTCTGGGCTGACAGCTCAGAGCCTGGAGCCTGCTT